ACCTCTTTTCCTTTCTCTACATCCGCCACTCCTTCCGGATAGGAGCAGCCACTTGGGCTGCTGCCCTGGGACTCCCTCAATCATCTCTCCAGGAGCTCGGTCCCCGGTTCTCTACCACATTCATCCATTCTGGCAGCCCAGCGCCTCCTCTCATTATAAGTACGTATGCATCTCCTGGTGGTGGCAACTCCTCATTTCCAGCATGCCGCGCACTCGAGCCGAGCTCGTGCGCGTGCCAACACCTAGCGCTAGAGCCGAGCTCGCGCCCGGACATTACGCCGCGCACTCGAGCCGAGCTCGTGCGCGTGCCAATGCCTAGCGCTAGAGCCGAGCTCGTGCCAACGCCTAGCGCTAGAGCCGAGCTCGTGCCAACGCCTAGCGCTAAAGCCGAGCTCGCGCCCGGACATTACGCCGCGCACTCAAGCCGAGCTCGTGCGCGTGCCAACGCCTAGCGCTAGAGCCGAGCTCGCGCACGGACATTACGCCGCGCACTCAAGCCGAGCTCGTGCGCGTGCCAACGCCTAGCGCTAGAGCCGAGCTCGCGCCCGGACATTACGCCGCGCACTCAAGCCGAGCTTGTGCACGTGCCAACGCCTAGCGCTAGAGCCAAGCTCGAGCCCGGACATTACGCCGCGCACTCGAGCCGAGCTCGTGCGCGTGCCAACGCCTAGCGCTAGAGCCGAGCTCGTGCCAACGCCTAGCGCTAGAGCCGAGCTCGAGCCAACGCCTAGCGCTAGAGCCGAGCTCGCGCCCGGACATTACGCCGCGCACTCGAGCCGAGCTCGTGCGCGTGCCAACGCCTAGTGCTAGAGCCGAGCTCGCGCACGGAAACACTCACTCACACCATACGCCTTCCATAAACGCAGCAACCAAGTCATAGCAAACGCATCGCTAGCCAAGCTCTCTTTTTGGGGATCATGATCTGCACCCAGGCGCAGATCTCTTCAGAGCACGGCCACAGCCGGGGCCTAAGCTCCAAACCAATAAACAAACTCAATCAATAAAATAAACAACTCTTAAACGCATCTCGTCTCTTGTAGTCTCTCCAGGTTGAAATGCAGCTTAAGCGGAGGTTCAGGATGGTAGACTACCTACGTTATCACACCAGGCTTGATCACGCCTTACTCAGCCTGTCTTAATCAACTCCCCGCAGCCGTGTCAATCAAGCCAGCGTTTAAGAGCAAAGCAGAGCACAGCTCACCAAACGGACTTCAAGCTGCAACCACCTCCTCCCCACCTCCGCCTCAGGATTTCTTCACTCTCACATTCACCTTGCCTTGTTGCCACCACCGGTGTCTAGGCCCCGGGGGATCATGATCTGCACCCAGGCGCAGATCTCTTCAGAGCACGGCCACAGCCGGGGCCTAAGCTCCAAACCAATAAGCAAACTCAATCCATAAAATAAAAAACTCTTAAACGCATCTCGTCTCTTGTAGTCTCTCCGGGTTTAACAACTGTAGTCCCTAGGCAAGGTGTAAAATGCCATCAAAGTGCACTGCAAACATTACAATTACATTACAATTCAATTAAACAATTTATGAAAGATCTTAATTTGGTAGACATTTGGAGAGAGCGAAATCGGCAAACAAAAGGTTATTCATGCTACTCTGGGACATTCAAGACATTTTCGCAGATAGATTATTTTTTAATCTCCTCAGATCTGGCTCCAAAACTATATTACAGTTCATATGACAATACTGTCATCTCAGATCTTGCCCTGTGTAAGTTAGTATATCGAGAGGAGGCCCTCTCTGGTGACCCACCCCGTTGGCGCTTCCAGCATAAATGGCTGCAAGATGAGAAGTTCATTAATTATATTAGCAAACAGATGAATACTTTGAAATAAACACAGTCCAAACGTCAGCATGTACAAAATGGGATGCATTTAAGACATTTCTCAGGGGTCATATCATAAGCTATACAGGTTACCAATCTAAAAAAGCAAGACAAGAACGATTGAATTTGGAAAATAAAATAAAAGAAGCCCAAGAAAAGGTGTTTAATAAAGCTGATCCAGCAGCGGAAAAGGATTTACTTTGTTGAGAGCCGAATATGAAAAGCAGTCTTGTGCTAAAGCTGCAGCTAGTCTTTTAAGATTAAAACAAACATTTTATGAACAAGGGGAGAGAACAGGAAAATTACTGGCCTGGCAAATTAAACAGCGTGAAAGTAAAACTTCAATAACATCAATTGAAAAAGCGGGCCAAACAATAGTGAATCCAAACTAAATCAATGACGCATTTAAGCAATACTATCAACATTTATATGAGAACCAAGGACGTCACAATGATCCTAACACAAAACTAGTTTTGGACAAACTAAAAATCCCCACCATCTCTGTAGACACTAAGGACCAATTGGAAATGATGATTTATAAAGAAGAGATATCTCAAGCTATTGGTGCAATGAAACTAGGAAAAAGTGCAGGTCCAGATGGTATTCCAATTGATGTATATGCAAAATGTAGAGAGAGTTTGATTTAGTTAACAAACATTACTTTAAATACTTACAATGTAGAAGCTTTGTGAATATGAATCAAAATATCAACAAAATCCCCTTGTCACAATTAGAAAAACTGTTAATAAAGGACAAATTTAGGAAAGGTATAATTGCAGAAGTATATAATCTGTTATGTTCTAATTCGACAGAAACTTTGAGTAATAAGTTGATGTCTTGGAATGAAGATCTGTGTATAAATATCAAAGATTATGACTGGGAATGCAGCAAATGTCAGACAATGTCTCTCAATATATAGCCGGCTAAGGGTAATACAATTCAAATGGTTAATGCATATTTATATAACACCAATAAAGCTAAATAAATATAACAGGATAATACCAGACACATGCATAAAATGTGGCTACAAAGGAACTTTGATACATTGCATGTGGGAATGTAGTTAGATACAATTACTTTGATCAGAAATAAAACAATTGATTGAAAAGATCATTTCAAAACGCATTGACTTGGATCCTAAACTGTTTTTACTTTCACTACATTCTAAAATTTATAATCTTACTAAAGAAGACGGTGCATTTCTTGATATTGGCTCATTAATAGCAAAAAGATAGCTCTGGCCTGGAAAGATGTTGACAGGCCTCGTGGCAACGTGGTTGAAGCAGATGCTTTCAAGCCTTCCTTTAAGAGAGGATTTCCAATATCCACAGGGGAAAGCAACATGTTTTGAGAAGATTTGGGGACTTTGTGCAGGACTTGGACATAACTGATGACTTGAACAATTCTTAAAGAACCCTGTAAATAATGACCAATGTGAATTTAATACATATGAGAAGCTTTTGTTTTGGTTTTATGTTATTTTATATCTTAATTGTACTGTAAATAACGTGGTGAGACATTGTTCATAAGAGAGTGTGTAACTAACTAATGTGCCATGGCAGAAAATTTCAATAAAATATTTATGGCAACAAAAATATATATATAATTAAAATAACTAAAAAACTAAAAACAATGACAGAAATTAACTACACAGAAACAGAAACAGCCAAGTTATGCAGACCAGACATGTACATGAGCCACTACAACTTAAACAATTCCCAGAGCCGTCCAATTGACTGCTGTACTGTAGACCCTGGTCTTATCGCCGCATCACCTGAGAACATTATCCCATTACGTGCCGCGACCTGGTGCTGCTCAGAGCGTCTTATCTAAATACAGCCGTAACTCTTGCTGGTCGCGGCTCTGGTCTTGATCCTGGGCCTGGGCCTGGTCTCCATAAAAGCTCCGGTCTCTGCTCTGTTTACAGCCGCTATCTCCCGAGTCGAGCTCCCATAAACACGCATCACTCTGCCCTTAATGTCCAGCTCCAGACTGACACGCTCCTCTGCGTGTTTGTTTTAGATTCAGCAGGACAGAGAGAGAGAGAAGAAAGAAGAGAGCGAGAGGAGGGAGAGAGGAGATTCAGATTCAGATTCAGATTCATTTATTTGCCATTTGCAGTAAAACCACATAGGAAAAACTGTGCAAGACTACCCCAGTGTGCACCACCAGAGAAGAGAGAGGAGAGAGATAGGCCAGAGAGAGGAAAGAGAGAGGAGAGAGAAGAGAGAGAAGAGATCGAGAGAGAAGAGGTAGAGAGAGAGAAGGAGAGAAGAGAGAAGAGGGAGAGAGAGAGCGAGAAAGAGAGAGAGAGAGAGAAGAGGGAGGCAGGAGAGAGCAGAGAGAGCAGAAAGAGAGAAGAGAGATTAGAGAAGAGGGAGGTGCAGGAGAGAGCAGAGAGAGAGAAGAGACAAGAGAGACCAGGGAGAGAAAAGAGAGAGAGCTCAGAGAGAGACCATTGTCCCTCTTGTCACTTCTTCTTTCTTGCATGAGGGCAGCATTCCCGACGTCAAACCTGTGTTTTTATAGGTTTTTAATATATACAGTCTATGGTTTTTGCTCAGTGTAAACGAGGCAACTCCCTCTGCTGCTCTGAGATTGGCTCTCATTCCCTGCACACGCACGCGCACCCATCACGTGCACGAGCATAGCCTTCAAGAGGACAGACGCGGACGGACGCGAGAAGTCCGCGTGTGGAGTTTGCTGCAGTTCGAACTTAAGGACATTAGTGTTTGGGAGCAGATCTGGGACTCACGTGCACGGGGGCTGCGTCATTCACGCGCACGGGGGCTCAGTCTTTTACGTTCACGGGGCTGCGTCATTCACGTGCACATGGGACCTGTTTTGGCCCGAGGCAGCGTCAGTGTCATTCTCCTGAAGTCTCCAGAGCAGAGGATGCGCGTCCTCTTTGACCAATGACTCTGTTTCTTTCGCTGCTTTTGTATAGTTTCTTCCTGGTTTCAGGTCTTTCTCTAGTCTCTTTTTGGTCTCTATGGTCTGTCTCTTTCTGATCTCTCTGGTCTCTCTTCATGGTCTGTCTCCCTCTGGTCTCTTTCTGATCTCTCTGGTCTCTCTCTGGTCTCTTTTTGATCCGTCTCTCTCTGGTCTCTGGTCTCTTCAGTCCACTTTCTGCCGTTCATCTTTTCTAAATAAATCCTTTTGAAATGAACGTGATCAGCGGGTACCACCACCACCACCACCGGCTCATCCACGACCCTTTCCCCGGGCCGTATTTCCAGAGCTGGGTGCTGCAGAACCACGAACTCCCGGGGGACTACCACCACAGCACGGAACCTCTGACCCCGGACCCCCGTTTCGAGGCCCTCGGGGGGCCGGCCAAGCGTAGAAGCTCCGCGGGCCCCAAGAAAGAGCGGCGGCGCACGGAGAGCATCAACACGGCCTTCGCGGAGCTCCGGGAGTGTATCCCCAACGTCCCCGCGGACACCAAACTGTCCAAGATTAAGACCCTGCGTCTGGCCACCAGCTACATCACCTACCTCATGGAGGTCCTGGCCAAGGACGGGGAGGCCGAGGGCTTCAAGGCCGACCTGAAGAGGCCCGAGGCCCGGGAGAGCCGCGAGGCGAAGAGGAGGCGAGACCTGGTCAGTGTCAGACGAAATGTTTTAATAAAAATAATAATAGTAACATAAAATAATAGCAATTATTATTATCATTATTGTCAATATTATTTTTGTGGGTGTTTTTTGTTAAAAGGGAATTATTTTACTATTTTTATTTAGTTATTCGTGTAATTATTAGATTATCGTGTATTATTATTATTATTAAATAATAATAATAATAATAAAATTGCACGTTTTTGATGTTATTTATTGCATATTTCAGACGGGATTATTTGACTGACTGACTGACACACACACACTCCGTGTTATCCTCTGGCAGTGATTAAAAATTACACAAAATAAAAAATAAAATCGAGCCTTTTAGGATTTTTTAGGGTGTTTTTCTTCTGCCTTTAATCACTGCGGGTCATTTTGACCCGTGGAGAACCCAAGGATTTTAAACTTCAGTCAGATTTTTTTTGTTTTACTTACTTTTTAATTTTTTAATTTATTTATTTATATTTGACAAAAAACACGTGTATTATCATTATTATTAATAATTATAATATTCATATTCATTATAAAAAGTAAATGCCGCAAACACATTATGCTAAAGATTTGTGTTTGTATTAAATAAAGTCTGGACTTTTAAATATAATTTTTTTTTTTTTTTTTTTTTTTGCCAAAGCAAAAGATGAATGATTCTCAAAGCCTCAAAGTTACAGAACTGTAGAATTATTGCTTTTCTCTCTGGGGTTTGAATCTTGGGGACATAACAGTAAAGGTGGGGGACGTAACATTAAAGCTGGGAGACGTAACATTCAAGCTGGGGGACATAACATTAAAGCTGGGAGACATAACATTAAAGCTGGGGGACGTAACATTAAAGCTGGGAGATGTAACATTAAAGCTGGGGGACGTAACATTTTATTATTCAGAGTTTGTTCCAATCCACGCACAGTGATGACGGAGACGCCGAACACACTCCATCAAAGTCTCTGATAAACACCATTCACTCTTTCTTAAAGCTGGGAGATGTAACTTTAAAGCTGGGGGACGTAACTTTAAAGCTGGGAGAAATGTTACATGATATGATGTGAAAACTAAATATAGAAGCAACTGTTTTAGAGCCGCAGGAGCCTGGGTTTAATACAGTGTTCTACTGGTCTAAAAGTTACTGACCCCAGCTTTAAAGTTACAGACCACAGCTTTAAAGTTACAGACCCCTGCTTTAATAAACCCTGTATCATGTGTTCTCAGGCTCCAGAGGGACTGAATTCGTACGCTGAGGAGAAACGGGTCAAAGGGAGGACCGGCTGGCCTCAGCAGGTCTGGGCTCTGGAGACCCGAGACCTGCTCCCCAAACACAATCAGTGACCCGAGTCCAAGACCTAACACCAAAGACCCAAAACACGTATGAGACCTGCTCCCAAAACAAAGACCCCAACAAGGATTGGGACTTGGGCTGAAGACCAGGATTCGGGCTGAAGGTCCAGTTGGACTGTTTGTTTGCTGTCGGAGAATGAAGGAGATTAAGTTATTTTAAAAAAAATATTTTTTATTATTGTAGCGACGCATCACTAGTGGGTCAAACGCCTGGGACCACACGGATGGGTCAAATGCATGGGACCACACAGACCTGGGTCAAATACCTGGGACCACACAAACCTGGGTAAAATGCTTGAGACCACAGACCTGGATCAAACGTCTTGGACCCAACATTAACTTGGATCAAATGCCTGGTACCCGACACTGACTGGGTCGATCATCTGGGATCACGTAGACCTGGATCTAAAGCTTGGGACCACTGACCTGCGCCAAAAGCCTGGGACCAGACAGACCTGGGTCAAAAGCTTGGGGGCACACAGACCTGGGTCAAACGCCTGGGACCACACAGACCTGGATCAAACGCCTGGAACCACACAGACCTGGGTCAAACGCCTGGGACCACACAGACCTGGGTCAAACGCCTGAGACCACACACTAACCTGGGATGTCCTGGGATGCATAGGACCCGAATGTTATAGAGTTTTACCAGTTATTTATTGAGACGTTTAAAACATAAACATGTGATTAAAGTATTTGTGGTTTTAAAGAGAGCATCATTTTTTAACACAGACACACACACACTACACACAGACACACTACATACAGACACACAGACTCTACATACACACACACTACACATAGACGCACACACAACACAGACTCTACATGCACACAACTCTCAGCCTCTGCTTCTAAAACATGTGTTTAGCTCCATCCACGCTAATATGAGAACTCCTCACCCCTCCCCTTCTGTCCTGACCCTCTTTTCTCTAACTCCTTGCCCCTCCCCTTCTGTCCTCACCCTCTCCTCTCTAACTCCCCCCCTCCCCTTCTGTCCTCACCCTCTGCCCCTCCCCTTCTATCTGATTCCGTGTACTATTCAAATCTCAGCGAGATAGACCAGTGATTCCCAACAGGTGGACCGCGGCCCCTGGAGGCACACGGGGGTATTACCCTGATAGTTAGAGGTTTACACAGCAGTGGCCTGTTCTACATCGTCCTAAAGACAGGTCTGATCCACAGGGTTAAAATGACTGAGAGGGGGGAGTCAGAGGAGGGAGTCGAAGGGGGGAGTCACTGCCACAGAACATGTGACTGTTTTAGGTCTCAGATTTAAAATACTTCTTAAACACAAGACACAGATGCACTTTGTCCACAGCGTCTGCAGAGTTTAACTTTCAGGACTATAAGCCGCACCTGTTTTTAAGCCGCAGGAGTCAAATAACTAGAGAAAAGTAGAGACGTATAGTCCAGAAATTATGATAATTTAATGTAATCTACCTCAGGAGGAAGTCACTGTGTTTTTAAAGACGGTGTTTGTAAATGTTCAGCGGATGTGGATCTATACACATATTTGATGCACAATAAATGGAATAGTCTGGTTTCACACTGGTTTTACTCTGGTTTCACACTGGCTTTACATCGCTTTCACTCTGGTTTCACACTGGTTTCACATGACACAGTAGTAATACAGAGCACACAAATACTTTAAATCTTATGTACACTTTAGCTCAGTTATGAATAAATGATACACACAACAACAGTCACACACACACACACACACACACACACACACACAAAGACACTTCGAAACACACACACACTCCCAGGGCCTGATTTGGTGGTTTAGTTTTGCTCAGAGGCTGATGGCACAGATTGGCAGCCTCACTTCTGTCACCCTGTCTCAGGGCAGCTGGGGCTGTAGTGTCTTCCTCCACTGGCCCTGTCACTTATCTGTTTTAAGAATTATATCTGCTTTGATGTTTGCTAACCTCGCGTATGTCCACCATGTTTTTGAATTGAATATATGATCTCAACGCTTTATCCTGAACCAACATGTATCTATTGTGGATCAGGAGGGACATCTACTGGTGGAAAGGGGAATTACCACAACCTAAGCATGCAACCCATTTCGAGCAGAGAAAGCAGAGACTAGAGGGACCAGAGAGAGAGCAGACTAGAGCGCAGAGACCAGAGAGGCTAGAGAGAGCCCAGATAAAGCAGAGAGCAGAAAGAGAGACCAAAGAGACAAGAGGGAGACCAGACAAAGCAAAGACCAGAGAGAAAGCAGAGAGCAGAAAGAGAGACCAAAGAGACAAGAGGGAGACCAGACAAAGCAAAGACCAGAGAGAAAGCAGAGACTAGACAGAGAAAGAGACGAGAGCGAGAGACCAGGAAGAGCAGAGACCAGAGAGGGTCGGAACAAGAGAGACCAGGGAGACAAGAGGAGAAACCAATGACACTTGTGATGTCATGTGTTGTAGACAAACCCAGACCGCCCCTCCGTACAATACTTTTATTAACATTATCAAGAGCAGTTTTTAAATATGTTTTCTAATGCAACAGTGGGATTAATGCGTTAAAAAAGACAAATCTACAGAAACACATCAGACTCTGAACAAATCCAACGTAGAGACAAGAGTTCATGCTTTTAATGGCTTCACACGGCTCTGGTCAACGGTCACATGATCATGTTTTAGAATCTTTAAATACATCATTAACTTTCTTTTACAAAATGTCAAGTGCAAGATAAAGATTATGTCTTATTGTAAAGATATGAAGTTGAAGAAATGTACCTTTGATAGAAGAAATCCACTCTTTGCATGACCAGACTGTAGACAGATGGAGAATGCTAACCAGCTAGCTCATTGAAACCCAACAAGGAAGTGCTCATGGTGAAGTTTGGCTCCATCTCACTATGGCTCCGATTGACTTTCAAGTAAACTCCTCAGGCTCAGTAACTGTTTGTGTAACATTCACCATTTTGAGTTAAATCTGGTTTATCTCTTTCTGTGATCCTGGTGTTTATATTGTCTTTGTAAATCCAAATCTGAGCCATAGTCCTAATATACAGTCTATGTCCATGACCTGTGATGAGTTTGAAACCAGAACATTCAGACAGAAGGGTTGGGGAGTAGTGCTTTAACCCTTATGCTGGCCACAGCGATTAAATAATACCCTAAATAAAGCTTTGACCAGAATTTTGATGACTTTTCCATTCATGACTTTTTTTTTTAAATCACCCAAGGGTAGCACAAAGGTTGACCAGGAGCTCCTGAAATTAGCATGGATGGAGCTAAAATCAGAGTCAGAACATAGAACCTGTTGTTTCTAAGTCATTTTAGTTTTGAAAACAAACACATTATTATATTAACACTGCAGCGTGAGGGGTTGGGTTTGGGGTCAAGTCGACAGTGTAGAGAGAGACACTGTTAAGGGTTGAGTCGACAGCGTAGAGAGACACTGTTAGGGGTCGAGTTGACAGTGTAGAGAGAGACACTGTTAGGGGTCGAGTTGACAGTGTAGAGAGAGACACTGTTAGGGGTCGGGTCGAGTTGACAGCGTAGAGAGAGAGAGAGACACTGTTAAGGGTCGAGTTGACAGCGTAGAGAGAGAGAGAGACACTGTTAAGGGTCGAGTTGACAGCGTAGAGAGACACTGTTAAGGGTCGAGTCGACAGCGTAGAGAGACACTGTTAGGGGTCGAGTTGACAGTGTAGAGAGAGACACTGTTAGGGGTCGAGTTGACAGTGTAGAGAGAGACACTGTTAGGGGTCGGGTCGAGTTGACAGCGTAGAGAGAGAGAGAGAGACACTGTTAAGGGGCGAGTTGACAGCGTAGAGAGACACTGTTAAGGGTCGAGTCGACAGCGTAGAGAGAGAGAGACACTGTTAGGGGTCGAGTAGACAGCGTAGGGAGAGAGACACTGTTAGGGGTCGAGGAGACAGCGTAGGGAGAGAAACACTGTTAGGGGTCGAGTAGACAGCGTGGAGAGAGACGTGTGAAGCCATTACCAATAAAACCACTCATCCAAAACTGACACATTTACTATTAAGTCAAAGAAAAGAGAAATACATTAAAGGAATAAAACTGGCTTTGCCTCAGGTCACGTCCCAAACGTAAAAAACCCGAGCAGTGAACGACCCGATATCTGACCCAATCTCCCAGAGTGAGCTGTGTGTGAGGAAACATGATTATATTATTAAAGATTACATTTAGGAACTATTTACAAAGTGTACAAGAAAAGGCCCAAAGCAGTGACTGAGAGGACAGGACTGAGGCTGGAGGACAGGTCAGAGGGACCGGACTGAGGCTGTGGGACTGAGGCTGGGGGACAAGGACTGAGGACAGGACTGAGGCCATTTCAGTTTTAAATGTTGGCAAATGTTTCACTTTAGACTTTTTGAACTCTGCAGAAACAGCAGATGAGAGGGTCACAAGAGCTCTGACCCTACACCTGAACTCTCCCTTTTCTCTGGTCTCCCCCTATCTCTGGTCTTTCAGACAGAAGAAGCGGAGCTAAATTTTTGTTTGTAAATAGGGTTAAAACATCACAAAGTGGAACCGTTTCCAGCGATCACTCCTCACCCTCAGACCAGATGGGTTCCACCACACACTAAGACCAGTGACCGAGAAAGTCCATGGGCTTTTAACAACAGTAACAGACTTACAGGTGCAGAGACCCACAGGTGCAACGACCTACAGGTGCAGAGACCTACAGGCACAGAGATGCTCTCCACAAAATGGCCTCCATCTCCAGACAGAACATTATGGCGGGACACAATTCTTCTCCGGTAAATATAAGTTTTCATACCCTGCAGAGTTCTTTCAGTTTCATCAGTTCATGTCAGAGCAGTGTCTTCAGGGTTCCCAGGAGCAGGGACCATAAGTACACGTTCCACTGGGTCAGACTGAGGGGGGCAGAGGTACCATCGAGGAGAACAGGCCCAGACACTGATGACCATGTTCACAAACTGGTACCACCGCTCTCCATCGCAGCATCTTCTGTCTGCAGTGAGACGTGTTTTGGGGTATAAGCCTGGTGACACATGGTCCTGGGGGAGGGTGAGGTGGTCCTGGTCCAGGCCCAGGTTCAGTCCAGGGCCTTGGTTCCGTCGGTCTTCTGGTCCAGCCGGCTCTTGCTGCTCTTCACCATGTAGATGAAGTAGGTGAGAGTCTCCTTCTCGTTCACCGGGATGTTACGGAAGTGACGACTCACGGTCTGAAACGAAGAGATTCACACGAGTTACACTAGTCCTTTGCTTTCTCAAGAGCTCCTCCCTCCCTCCCTCCCTCCCGTCCATTCAGTCAGTCCGTCCATCCGTCTGTCCGTCCCTCCCTCCTTCCCGTCTGGTCGGTCCGTCCGGTTCGTCCGTCCAGTCCTTCCATTCCCCCTTCCCTCTCTCCCTCCCTCCCTCCCGCCCGTCCGTCCGTCCTTCCTTCCTTCCTTCCTTCCTTCCGGTCTGTCACGCCTTCCGGTCTCTCACCTCTGCGAGCTGGGCCTTGTTCAGACCAGGTCTAGTCTGGAGCTTGTAGTGCCTCTTGTAGCGTCTCAGTGTGTTCACCTGCAGCTGGAACAGATCCACCTAAAACACATGTTTAAAGCTGAGTTACTTCACTTTCTCTCCACAGTTTTCTTCTATCACTGGTTTCAACATGTATTTTAGAAACTGGTTCTTATCAGTTCCATATGTTGCAAAAGCAACTTTGACGCTTGGCCCCGCCTCCTGTTGTTCCCCCTCGACCCCGCCCCTTGCGTGTGTCTCATTCAACACAGCAAAGATATGAACATGCTTGGAGGAAACGCTTGTCTAAAAAAAAACGCGGCGCTTAGAATATGACAGAAGGTGATGTAGCGTCAGAGTCCACTATACAGCAGTGACATGACACCTTTCGTCGTCATTGAACAATGTGGTTTTTTACCAGAAACTTCATACGCAGCTAAAAGCTAAACTTAAGGTCAAGGAAGGTTTCTCACCCATCATCTGTACTTCTTAGCAGGTTTTCTTACACAAACTAAACTTAAGGTTACTTAACATAACCCCTGTTCTTTGATATCAGGGTTATTTATCCTGTAAAAACATTTATATTTTCCCCCATATTGCCCAGCCCTACAGTCAGGTGTAGGGGTGCAATGGTTTGGATCGTACCTCGGTTCAGAGGCCACGGTTCTGAACAATTGTTTTTTTTTTATAAACACGGCTCATGTGGACTCGGCACCTGCAGGAGGATCAGTGAGGGGCTGGTGCTCTGTGTACTGGGTGCAGCTCTGACTGCCAGCCCCCTGACCTAGAAATGGATTAAGGGGAAGGAAATGGATGGATGCAATTATGTCTTTTTAACATAATTAATGAAAAACAACACAAAGTGCAACATAAGAAGGCACTTTATGAGGGTATTTACCCTCATATATTAAACCACCTTCCTGATTCTCCCAAGGAGGCGGTCCATTCTGGGCCCAGTCCAGCCTCATTCACTGCATTTATTTAATTTTTAGCATTATCAATTGTGACAGGGATATTAGTACTGGGCCTTTGTCTTGCATTCCTCCGAAACTTGTGTCAGTTCCTGCGCTGTGTGCCTGTGTGACTTTTGTAGAGGGGGCGTGTCTGCAGTGCCAGACTTCTCATCTCCCAGTGATTAAGTGAGCGACTATCGTAACATAGCTCTCCGTTCCGCTCATGGATCTATTATAGGTTCCACGGGACGTCCAAGCGTCAGTTGTGAGCGCAACTGTGGATGCGCGGGAGAGTTGACTTTAGTCCGGTCTGACTGTGCATAAAAGGGGCTGCTTAAATGCCGCAGCAAATCAAACCGCGGATCACGTCTGTACCGAACCGAAGACGTTGATCCGAAGGGATCACGGATCAGTGATGAACCGTTGCAGCTCTAGTCAGGAGCCTCTCCCTCTGGGGGAGAGCGGGGGTCGTACCTCTGGCACCTCCAGGTCGTGGTCTGGAGACTCTCCTCCGTCATCGCTCGTCTTCCTCTTCCTCTTGTTGCGAACGCTCTGGATGAAATTCTTGTGGAAATCACAGATGTACAAATGTCGCACCTGAAGAGAAGCAACAGACAGTAAACGACAACAGACACAAACAGGCAAACGGAAGGTCTCTCTCGGGTCTTTCTCTTTGGACTCCCTCCCTCTCTCTGGTCTCTCTCAAATCCCTCCCTCTCTGGTCAGTCTCCTTTCTGGTCCTTCTGGTCTCTCTCCCCCTCTCCCTGGTCCTTCTGGTCCCTCTATCTTACGCTCTTGTCGATGTCCAGCTTGAGTTTCTTCTGAGAGATGCTCTTCTGAATCCTCTTGCTGAAGGAAGCGTTCCCGGCCGACCTGCCGCAGCGCTCGCCGTCCTCGATGAGGCAGCAGCTCTGACCGTAGAATGGCGGCGGCGGTGGACCGTCGTGACTGTCCTCTTCTGTGCTGAACCCGTTCATCCTGACTGAGGCACAACCAGGCCCAGACAGCAGTAACACAAGAAACTCTGACGCCGAGATGTGACTGGTGCAGTGGAGCCTCAAACCGGACTGATTCTGCAGCGCCACCAAAACCGAATCACAAACACTAAAATCTACGCACTTTCACGATAACTTTGTGTCTACAGTATTAAGACTAATTTACTATCTTGAAATGTAGACGATACAAACATGCGAGGCTGCTCGTGACGCGGCAATGAATAAAGTGGAAGAAGATGGATGTCAGTTCGAAATCACAAACATGTAGTTCCTGTTTCATTAAATCGGAAAATCCGTTTTATTCAACTACTTACTGTGATCTCACTTTGTAAACAACAACGCAGACTTTCTCTAATCGCAAATATGAGAAGCCTCTGAAAATATACTTTTGTCTTTGTCATTTATAAAGTCCTCACTGCAGATGTCCAGCACAAGAGAAGAGAAGCAGAGAGAGCTGTCAGGGACTCCGCGTGTGACCGACCCCTGTCCCCGGGTGTCTGTCTCCTCAGAGAACAGCTGAGGTAGCGGCTACAGCCACAGACGCCTCCCGTGGCCTCCGGTAAAGGTGGTGTGTTAGGACTGCGACACCAAGACGCAATCTTTGGTCTCTCTGTGTCTCTCCGAGTCGCTCCGGGTCCTCCGAGTGTGCGCAGACTGTTAGCCTTTTAGCCTCGATGCTAACCGTCCGGAACGGGGCTTTTCGGCTGCGAAGTCTGAAAATGCGCCAGAATCCCGTCGCAAAGTGTGGTCCCGCAGGGATGGGGACCGGCCTGAGGAGGGTGCGAGGTCGGACACGGCTGTAAACGACGCTAACGGGCTGTAGAGGTCTGGAAGTGGCACCAAAGACACGAGTTTGAGTCGCACAGTTCAGGTCGCGCCATTCTTTCTCTACAATGGACAAGGATAGAGCGGGGTTGCCAGGTCTGCGGAGGGAAACACGCAGCCAAGCGCATTCAAAACCAAAACAGTGTGATGAAAAGTGAATCAGTGTGATCAAGAAGAAAAAGATGAGTGAGAGAGAGGGGAGATAAAGAAGAGCGAGAGAAGAGTGAGAGAGAGTGGAGAAAGAGAGAGGATAACATTCACATTATCTACAGCACAGCTCTGTCAGAAAACTTAATTAAAATATTAACTTTTAAAAGTGTGTCAAATTTTCATTATATTCAATACAGATCCAGTGTCTCATACTGAGAGTCAGGAAAATCTCTGAAGCAAGGCAGGGCAGGGCCTGGTTAGTGTTATGATGGGAGACCTCTGGGAACACCAGGTGCCACAGTGGGGCGGCTGTGGCTGTAAAGTGGAAAACTGTGGTTGAGTCCTTAGGCAAACCCACACTTCACCCACATTAGAATGAGTCTAGTGTGTGTTAATGGTTGGTGGTGGGGCCGATGGCAAAGCCTTGCTTCTGTCAGTGTGCCCAGGGCAGCTTTAGCTCCAGTAGTAGTTCGTCACCACTTTGTTTGGAGTGAACAAATAATGCTGAGAGTAGTTACAGATAATTCGCCTGTGTCTTCAAACATGTTTTTAAACTTTTATGAGGATTTTTAGTAAGGACAGTAGTTCAACACGCAGGTAGAGTGGTCTGGTTTGGTCTGGCCTGGGTCATATATAAGTAGAGTCTAAATATACCGAAATTAGTGTTAACAACAAACTCCATAAGTCGCTGTAAAGTCACAGATCTGGCAACAACGGGCCCTTCAACGAAACGGGAAAACAACGGATTTCCACAAACGCGATTGGCCGAGCGTCCCGGGAAACGGGTATGTAGCGTTGCTGTGATTGGCTGAAAGGGCCGCCTGTCTGAGAACGCCGCTTCCTGGTCACGTTGCGTCAGATGTTTTGCAGCGTGAACGTTTAAATCCTCCACAGTCTCTGTTTACGCGGCGGTGGATCGTTATTAGGAGTGTTTGATGTGTTTGTCTCAAGAGTTTAATAAAAGTAAAATGTGAGCAAATATGATGTCGTTATCTCATTAGAAAACATGTTCTTTTGTGTCAAGAAAGATCCACGTGAGTCTTCTTTGACTCGTTCGTGGCAGAAGTCTCTGATGTTAGCATGGATGGATCTAAACACAAATCCTAGTCTGCGCAAAATAATATTAAGAAGAGGTCGCCCCTCTGCTCTGGAACAGGTTTCAGACCTGAAACTCTACACTGAGGCTCCGCCCACAGACCTTCACGTCAAAACGACTCCACCCGCTGAGCGCTTCCTCCTGACTTCTTCCAGCTCCCAGTCCCCGGTCTCGGCTCACGGGTCCCAGTCACATGTCTCCTCTGAGCGGCTGCTGGTGCCTCACCTGGTGCCTAATAACAGGTCAGATCTGTTTCTGCGCGTCTGTCACGTGTTTATGAATGAGTTTCATTTCAATGATGCACTGCTGCACCAGGAAATGAATATGGACAGACTACTGCTGCTGCTGCTACTGCTACTTCTACTGCTGTTCTCGTTAATATAATAGATCCATGCTGCTGCTACTTCTGCTGCTGACCTGAGCGCCGTCACTTTCACTTTCGTTTTCTTGTGTTTAACTGTCTTTGTCCAGAGTCAGAAGTCACTCATTGGTAAAGCATTGCCCTTTGAGCCAGAAGGTCGTGGGTTCGAGCCCACCTCAAGACTTTCACCATCGACTCCCACTGTCTGCTGTCCTTGGCAAGACACTTAACCTATGGGAACATCAGCCACAGTGGGGCGGCTGCGGCTGTAAAGTGCCAAACTGCCGTTTTGCCTAGAATGAGTCTGGTGTGTGTGTGAATGGTTGGTGGTGGCTCCGACCACCACCAACCATTCTCTTCTCTCCACTGGATCTATGCCACACTGGTTGCCTCGCTTCTGTCAGTGTGCCCCAGGGCAGCTGTGGCTACAGTAGTAGTTTATCACCTGTGTGTGTGTGTTGTGTTTCCAATGTGTGCGCTCTCCTCCTCATGCTGTCTCTCCTCTTCTTCCTCCTCATACTATCTCTCCTTGTCTTCCTCCTCATGCAGTCTCTCCTACCCCTCGCTCCTCCTTCTCATTCTGTCTTTTTAGGCGCTTTTTAGGCGCTAGATGCTATAAAATTAACTTTCGTTCCAGCGTCATGGGAAATAGGGGTTTTCAACGTTTTTTGAAAGCTTATAATAATATGAACCCAATTTGAAATTTCCTTGTCGTATTTTTGCTAGGGCCAACTGAAATTTGAACTTTTCATCGTGTAAAGTAGTATGTAAATTGCCATCGACCCAGTTTCAGCCAATCAGAGCGCCAGATTTCTTGGACATGAAGTCAGTGAGTTGGTGTGTTTGTCAACAAAGATGGCAGCCCCCGGTTGCAAGAAGCAACCGGGGTTTCCTCCGGGTGCTCTGGTTTCCTCTACCAGTAAAAACATGTACAATAGGTCTGGCATGTGATGGGAGCGAGCTGTAGGTGACCTCGCTCCCATCTCTGTGTGGAAGGAGGGACAAATGCCCAAAAATAACAACTGTAAAGCTCTTTGTGATTCTGGTCGGAGGCTATACAGTGCCTTGCGAAAGTATTCGGCCCCCTTGAACCTTTCAACATTTTTCCACATTTCAGGCTTCAAACATAAAGATATAAAAATATTTTTTTTTGTCAAGAATCAACAACAAGTGGGACACAATCGTGAAGTGGAACAAAATGTATTGGATAATTTAAACTTTAACAAATAAAAAACTGAAAAGTGGGGCGTGCAATATTATTCGGCCCCCTTGCGCTAATACTTTGTAGCGCCACCTTTTGCTGCAATTACAGCTGCAAGTCGCTTGGGGTATGTCTCTATCAGTTTTGCACAGCGAGAGACTGGAATTCTTGTTCATTCTTCCTTGCAAAACAGCTTGAGCTCAGTGAGGTTGGATGGAGAGCGTTTGTGAACAGCAGTCTTCAGCTCTTTCCACAGATTCTTGATTGGATTCAGGTCTGGACTTTGACTTGGCCATTCTAACACCTGGATACGTCTATTTGTGAACCATTCCATTGTAGATTTGGCTTTATGTTTTGGATCATTGTCCTGTTGGAAGATAAATCTCCGTCCCAGTCTCAGGTCTTTTGCAGACTCCAACAGGTTTTCTTCCAGAATGGTCCTGTATTTGGCTCCATCCATCTTCCCATCAATTTTAGCCATCTTCCCTGCCCCTGCTGAAGAAAAGCAGGCCCAAACCATGATGCTGCCACCACCATGTTTGACAGTGAGGATGGTGTGTTCAGGGTGATGAGCTGTGTTGCTTTTACGCCAAACATATCGTTTTGCATTGTGGCCAAAAAGTTCGATTTTGGTTTCATCTGACCAGAGCACCTTCTTCCACATGTTTGGTGTGTCTCCCAGGTGGCTTGTGGCAAACTTTAAACAAGACTTTTTATGGATATCTTTGAGAAATGGCTTTCTTCTTGCCACTCTTCAATAAAGGCCAGATTTGTGCAGTGCACGACTGATTGTTGTCCTATGGACAGACTCTCCCACCTCAGCTGTAGTTATCTGCAGTTCATCCAGAGTGATCATGGGCCTCTTGGCTGCATCTCTGATCAGTCTTCTCCTTGTTTGAGATGAAAGTTTGGAGGGACGATCGGGTCTTGGAAGATTTGCAGTGGTCTGATACTCCTTCCATTTCAATATAATTGCTTGCACAGTGCTCCTTGAAATGTTTAAAGCTTGGGAAATCTTTTTGTATCCAAATCCGGCTTTAAACTTCTCCACAACAGTATCTCGGACCTGCCTGGTGTTTTCCTTCGTCTTCATGGTTCTCGCTTTAAACAGAACCCTGAGACTTTCAAAGAGCAGGTGCATTTATACGGAGACTTGATTACACACAGGTGAATTCTATTTCTCATCATCAGTCATTTAGGACAACATTGGATCATTCAAAGATCCTCACTGAACTTCTGGAGTGAGTTTGCTGCACTGAAAGTAAAGGGGCCGAATAATATTGCACGCCCTACTTTTTTAACTTTGTTAACTTTGTTAAAAAAGTTTAAATTATCCAATAAATTTCTTTCCACTTCACGATTGTGTCCCACTTGTTGTTGATTCATGACAAAAAATTTAATTTTTAGATCTTTATGTTTGAACCCTGAAATGTGGCGAAAGGTCGAAAGGTTCAAGGGGGCCGAATACTTTCGTAAGGCACTGTAAATAACAATGGGCCTCATTCACGAATAACTACGTAAGAAACTACTCAACTTTCTTCTCAAGTTGTCCTTAAGTAGATTTCTAGGAAGTCCCCACGTGGGATTCATCAACGCACTCGTAAGCCGCTGAATTGTTCGCAGCTGTTCTCTCAGATTGATGAATCCCATTTCAGCGTAAGTACAGCGCGCGTGCCAGGTGCTTCATTAGCATAGGTACTTAGCATAAGTAACCGCCCATTAATGCCCATATAAGGGACTGCAGGGCCGTGTGCAGACGCCAGAGGAAACAGCAACAGGCCTAAAGCAGGCTTTTGCCAGACTGAGAATAAAGTTATAAAATGTTGACTTAAAAGTCGAAATATTATGATAATAAAGTCGAACTAGCAAAATTATGAGATTAATCTAAGAATATGATGAGATTAATCTCAAAATGTTATGATCTTAATTTAAAAATATATTATGTATTATTTTAAAGATGAATCTCAAAATGTTTTGAGATTAATCTCAAAATATTTTGGACCCTGGGAGGAGATCCAGCGCGGACCAGCGCTGAGACCAATGCAGACCCGAGGAGAGACTGGAGTGACCAGCACACAGAAACCAGCGCGGACAGGAGAGACCGCATAGACTGGAGTGACCTGACTGGAGAGACCGGTGTGCAGAGACCAGCGCGGACCGAAGAGAGACCGCATAGACCAGACTTGAGAGACCAGCGCGGACCCGTGGATCCAGGAGCATGCAGCACGGACCCGTATGGAGAGACCAGTGCAGACCCGTCTAGATCCATGGGAGAGACCAGCGCAGACCCGTATAGATCCATGGGAGAGACCAGTGCAGACCCGTATAGATCCATGGGAGAGACCAGTGCAGACCCGTATAGATCCATGGGAGAGACCAGTGCAGACCCGTATAGATCCATGGGAGAGACCAGTGCAGACCCGTATAGATCCATAGGAGAGACCAGCGCAGAGACTCAGCGCGGACCCAGTAACCTCCTGCAGCAGCAGTATATATGCCGTTGTTCTGTGGCCCGTGAATAAAGAAATGCCCCCTATAAATAGGAAGGGGTCACTAATACACGGCAAGATTTCCAATGTATTTGATAAAGCGTTGGCACATTTCATTTCAAAATGAATTAAAAAGTAGGCCAGATCTGCAGTGAAAAAGGCGGTATATAAATAAAGATTACTAATAAAGATTACTACAAATAAATAAATACATACATCGATATGACGGACATATCACTGGAATGTTGTATTTTTATTCAACTTCACCAAAGAGGACAACCCCGGCGTGTGAACATGTCGGCACTGAATGCGTACGAGTGCTCCTGAGGACTCGTAGGATTTGTACTTGCCCAAGACAAATTCTGGTTACGAGAAATATTCGTGAATGCCACTTTCTTCGTAAAAACCGCGTAAGTAGGATTTACGTACAAATCTGTTCCTAAGAACCGTTCGTGAATGAGGCCCAATCTTACTTAAAGACCTTATGCAGGGTTTTTTAGAAAAATTGTGGATATCAAAATGGCATGACAGTTAATCAATTAATGTCGATCTGAAATAGATTCCGGCAAAAAAAATCCTATATTTTATAAAAAGAATGTTTTTAATGAATTTAAGTTGTCTATGCTCTAACCTGTGTGTGACGACATAGCGGGTAACGCCCATGCTTTGAAAGCCATGGATCTATGCCACAGATACCCTCTCTTCTCTCCACCGATGTCCGACACAATACTGCACTCTGCAGGTGTCAATTGTTCATTACACATTATATTTCCGTTTTAAGAGTGAAAATGTGTGAGATGAAAATTGTACCCCAGTTGCTGGTATGCCAGCGCGGTGAGATAACCACTGGACTATCTCAGCGCCAATATTTAGCATCACACTGGTAGTCTTATATCCGCTGTACACCGCCTTGTCATCTTGAATATCCGCAAAAACATATCAAATTGTAAACAACTTGCAGGCTGTTGAAACGTACCCGCTCTGACGTCCCTAAGGGAGAAGAGGCTGTGAATTTTTTTGTGGATTTTGAAACCTTTAGTAGTTCTCTTCTAATATAAAATGGTACTAAAACTGTATTTCTAAATCAATCAAACCCTGCATAAGGTCTTTAAATGATCGGCAGAGGGTGAGGATTATCATAATAATCATTTATCAATCAATGGATGCAACATGATGTGCAATGAACAATGACTGACTGCAGGGCATGGGCGTGGCATGGTCAGCATGGTCAGCATGGCTAGTATGATCAGCATGGGCGTGGCATGTTCAGCATGGTCAGTATGGTCAATGATAATTATAGTAATGTATAATTGGGCATGATAATCTTTAATGTATAGTCATTGTTATCAGTGGCATATCCAGAAACTTTTTGAGGGGTGCGTCTGCAATGGAATTTCAGGCTAATAATGGAATTTTTTTCTGCCAAATCAGGCAAAGGTACATAGATTGGCATAAATGTTTTTTATTTTGTTTTTTGATTTCTCATGAGGTAGTCCTAAGACACGATATTGGATGGACATATGGTAGCTTGATCTTACTGGTGTTAGCGCAGGTACCATCTCATTGGTCTTACTGGTGTTAGCACAGGTACCATCTCCTTGGTCTTGGCACAGGTACCATCTCCTTGGTCTTGCTGGTGTTAGCACAGGTACCATCTCCTTGGTCTTACTGGTGCTAGCCCAGGTACCATCTCCATGGTGTTCAAGCACAAGTGGTTGCGCTCTCACCAGTCGACATGATAACCCACCGGTATTCCAGCTCGTTCTCCTCAGACACACGAATGAACTAGAAAAGCAGTAGCAAGTAGTTCTACCAACAACTGCAGAGGAATGTGATAAGATTTTCCTCGTTTAAATCAAGCAGGCAAACAGATTTGAACATTAAAAAATTTAAATATTGATTGAGAAATGCTATAAACACGGGCGTAAATAGTTTCCAGTGTACTGGACACCCCATCGCCATGGGGAATCTAGAAAAATACTTTGTCTTTGGCGTAGCCTATTCATCCATCCATTTTCTTCCCCTTAATCCATTTCTGGGTCAGGGGGGTAGCAGTCAGAGCTGTATCCAGTACACAGAGCACCAGCCCCTCACTGATCCTCCTGCTGGTGGAGTCCACAGGAGCTGAGATCTTTCAGCGGGGCTTTAGGAAAAGTGGGGTTAACTGTCTTGCCCAAGGACACAACGACAGCAGACATCAGTGGGAGTCGGTGGAAAAGGTGTTGAGGTGGGAAACGAACCCACGACCTTTAGGCCTAAAGGCCAATGCTCCACCAACTACTGAGCTACTGTCGCCCCCTTCTTTGGCGTAGCCTAGCTACCATATTTCCATCCAACATCATGTCTTAGGCCTACCTCGTGAGAAATCCATAAACAAAATAAAAAATATTTGTGTCAGTCTATGTATCTTTGCTTGATTTGGCAGAAAAAAATGCAATAATTAGCCTAAAATTCCTTTGCAGACGCACCCCTCAAAAAGTTTCTGGATATGCCACTGATGACAACAATGACTGTACATTAATGATTATTGTGCCCGATTATACATTACTATAATAATTATTGACTGACTGACCGTGCTGACCATGCCACGCCCATGCTGACCATGCTGAGCATCATCTTTGAGGTATTTGAAGGAAAGTCAACAATCATTAGACATAAAATCAGTTTATGGTAGTTTTTACAGTTTAGTGCCCAACTTTGCCTGAAGCTTCCACTGAACCACCTGCAGGAGGGATCAGTGAGGGGCTGGTGCTCTGTGAACTGGGTTGCAGCTCTGACTGCCACCCCCCCGACCCATAAATGGATTAAGGGGAAGAAAATGGATGGATGAAATAGGTAGTTCTGCAATTAGAAACCTCCAAACATGATACATCTGGCTAAAATGTCCAATTTTCGATCAAAACCACAACTTTGACAAAATTTTTTTCCGACAGGGATTCTGTTTGTGGATTTTTTTTGTGGCTAACTGTAACTATTTAGCATTAACATAAAGCAAAAAAGTATTTCCCACTATCCTGGAACAGAAGTCAAATTCTAGACCTCTTTCATGAACTAACACATGGCCTATTTGCCTCTCCAGTGTCTGCGCTCCTTCCTCCTCCTCAGAATGTGCGTCTCTGCTCCCACAACATGGACCTGTGGTTACGGTGGAATCCTCCGCTGAAGGAGAACCAGGAGGAGGTTCTGTACTCCACACAGCTGAAGTGAGTGACCTCTGACCTCTGACCATTGACTTGAATGAGTTGACGTCTTAGACCAGAAAAACGGCTCTTGACCCACGACTGATGCTGTGGACCCAGGACTGAGGATGCAAACCCAGGACTGAGGCTGTAGACCCAGGACTGAGGCTGTAGACCCAGGACTGAGGCTAGATCCAGGACTGAGGCTGTAGACCCAGGACTGAGGCTGTAGACCCAGGACTGAGGCTGTAGACCCAGGACTGAGGCTGTAGACCCAGGACTGAGGCTGTAGACCCAGGACTGAGAGGACTGTAAGACCCAGGACTCAGGTTTTCAGTGACTGCTGTGTGTGTTTCAGGAAGCTGTATTTGGGAGACTCTGGGGACTTCTCAGCCTGTGTAAACATCTCAGAGCTGGCCTGTGAGCTGTCAGACCCAGGGCTGGGGCTGGATCTTCTTGAGTTCGGGCAGTACAGGGCCTCGGTCCAGGCCCAGTGTGGTCAGGAGCGGTCAGTGTGGGTCGACAGCCAGGTGCTCACCATGGACCGAGACAGTGTGTTCTTTACTCACCACTAATCCATTAGAAACTGTTTTGTAGAGATTTGAACCATGTTACATTAGAGACGAATGGAGCTACAGTTGCCCTGGGGCAGGCTGACAAAAAGGCAACCTATCTGTGCCATCTGCCCCTCCCACCACCACCAACCATAATAATAATAATACATCAAACTTATAGTATAACACTGTTTTGGACACTCAAAGGTGCTTTACAAAACACGTACGAATAAACATTGAAGAACAAACTGAAGGAAAGGCTGAAGACAAGACAAGGTTTTGAAAAGTTATTAAGAGTCGGCGTGTCTGGTGGTTGTGGGAGTGAGTTCCAGAGAGTGGGGACAGCTGGGGCAAAGACTCTGTCCCTCAGGTTTCAGAAGGCTCGGTCCCTCAGGGTTCAGACTTGGTCCTCAGGGTTCAGTATGTAATGTAATGTTTATTTATATAGCGCATTTTACAGACAAAGGTCACCCAAAGTGCTCTACAATATTGTTCCAATCATTCCACGCACGGTGATGACAGAAGCTCCCAATCAACACCATCCATTCACCCTCTCATTTACATACATTCAGACCTATTGTGCATGTTTATAGTGGTAGGGGAAACCAGAGCACCCGGAGGAAACCCATGCATACACAAGGAGAACATGCAAACTCCACTCAGAAAGGCCCAGGTGGTATGGAACTGGAGCCAGTGGAGTTGTTTGAGGACGGGGGTGATGTGCTCTCTGGAGCAGGTTGGGGTGAGCGAACGGGCGGCAGAGTTCTGGACGTTTTCTAGTTCATGGAGATGTGTGGAAGGGAGCGCGTGGAGGAGGCTGTGGTTCTGTCCCTGTGATCTCTGACTGTGGTTCTGTCCCTGTGTGCAGCGGTGATAGGCCCCCCCGCTGTGACGCTGACCCCTCAGGGGGCGGGGCTAGAGGTCAGCCTGACGGAGCCGCTCTTACTGCTGTCGACCATGACCCGAGTGTACGGCTCCACAGGGGTGCGCTACAACGTTAGCTTCTGGCCACGAGGACTACAGCAGGAGGTGAGGCTATGGCTAACCTTAATGCTAACCTTAATGCTAACCTTAATGCTAACCCTCACTCCTAACCCTCACTCACCTAGACCCCAAAGAATTGGAAATGCAACAATAACAAATAGGAGCCATTGGTCCATAGGGAGCACAACTGAGCGGAACTGAGCTGTAGACCCAGGACTGAGGCTGTAGATCCAGGACTGAGGCTGTAACGCCCCTACCTCCCGCCCCCAGGTCTCTCAGGTTCTGGATCAGCAGAGTCGGCTGGTCCTTCCGGACCTTCTCCCGTGGACTGAGTACTGTGTCCAGGTCGCCGTCCATTTGGATCCAGAGAAAAACGACAAGACTCCAGAGACCAGCGCAGTGCAGTGTGAGAGGACTGCAGCCGGTAAGTACCTATATACATTCATACACATCTGTATACGTCTGTGTAAACCTGTCCTGTATACACCTGTATATATCAGTATATACTGTATCTGTATACACCTCTGACAGGGCTTCCTCTTCAACCCTGTTCTCAGGGTTTAAGGCACTTGTGCCTCCTTCTCCTCCTCTCTGGTCTCTCTGACTCAGGCCCGTCGCAAGGGGGGTGCAAGGCCCTGTGCGAATTTGAAACGCGAGGCCCTGCCCTGACACTTTTTTCCCAGATCTCAGGAAAGTTTTTCCTGTTACAGTGCCCCCTTGAACCTTTCAACATTTTGCCACATTTCAGGCTTCAAACATAAAGATCTAAATTTTAAATTTTTTTGTCATGAATCAACAATAAGTGGGACACAATCGTGAAGTAGAACGAAATTTATTGGATACTTTTAACTTTTTTAACCAATAAAAAACTGAAAAGTGGGGCGTGCAATATTATTCGGCCCCTTTACTTTCAGTGCAGCAAACTCACTCCAGAAGTTCAGTGAGGATCTTTGAATGATCTAATGTTGTCCTAAACGACTGATGATGATAAATAGAATGCACCTGTGTGTAATCAAGTCTCCGTATAAATGCACCTGCTCTTTGATAGTCTCAGGGTTCTGTTTAAAGCGCAGAGAGAACCATGAAGACAAAGGAACACACCAGGCAGGTCCGAGATACTGTTGTGGAGAAGTTTAAAGCCGGATTTGGATACAAAAAGATTTCCCAAGCTTTAAACATCTCAAGGAGCACTGTGCAAGCAATTATATTGAAATGGAAGGAGTATCAGACCACTGCAAATCTACCAAGACCCGGCCGTCCCTCCAAACTTTTATCTCAAACAAGGAGAAGACTGATCAGAGATGCAGCCAAGAGGCCCATGATCACTCTGGATGAACTGCAGATAACTACAGCTGAGGTGGGAGAGTCTGTCCATAGGACAACAATCAGTCGTGGCCTTTATGGAAGAGTTGAAAGAAGAAAGCCATTTCTCAAAGATATCCATAAAAAGTCTCATTTAAAGTTTGCCACAAGCCACCTGGGAGACACACCAAACATGTGGAAGAAGGTGCTCTGGTCAGATGAAACCAAAATCGAACTTTTTGGCCACAATGCAAAACGATATGTTTGGCGTAAAAGCAACAATCACCCTGAACACACCATCCCCACTGTCAAACATGGTGGTGGCAGCATCATGGTTTGGGCCTGCTTTTCTCAGCAGGGACAGGGAAGATGGCTAAAATTGATGGGAAGATGGATGGAGCCAAATACAGGACCATTCTGGAAGAAAACCTGTTGGAGTCTGCAAAAGACCTGAGACTGGGACGGAGATTTATCTTCCAACAGGACAATGATCCAAAACATAAAGCCAAATCTACAATGGAATGGTTCACAAATAGACGTATCCAGGTGTTAGAATGGCCAAGTCAAAGTCCAGACCTGAATCCAATCGAGAATCTGTGGAAAGAGCTGAAGACTGCTGTTCACAAACGCTCTCCATCCAACCTCACTGAGCTCGAGCTGTTTTGCAAGGAAGAATGGGCAAGAATTCCAGTCTCTCGATGTGCAAAACTGATACATACCCCAAGCGACTTGCAGCTGTAATTGCAGCAAAATGTGGCGCTACAAAGTATTAGCGCAAGGGGGCCGAATAATATTGCACGCCCCACTTTTCAGTTTTTTATTTGTTAAAAAAGTTTAAATTATCCAATAAATTTTGTTCCACTTCACGATTGTGTCCCACTTGTTGTTGATTCTTGAAATGTTTTTTATATCTTTATGTTTGAAGCCTGAAATGTGGCGAAATGTTGAAAGGTTCAAGGGGGGACTGTATAATCTTTGACATGAATTTATGACCACCTCGCGCGGTGCGTGAAGAGATCAGCACACAAACACACACACACACAAACACACAGTTACGGCGCTTGGCATTGCAATGTTGGTCGGGGTCTTTTTACCTGACATGACTCTTTCATCCTGTGGAAAAATGGCAGAGCAACTCAAAAGATTGAGCCAAAAGTAGTCTTCTTCTTCTAATAGTTGGATTACGGCAAAATGCGCCAAAATGGCTACGAGTCAATATTTGTTGTATTTCTTTCTCATCAAATAATGTTTTTGCCATGCCTCCATACTCTGACTACATTTGCTCCTTCTCCTCCACACACTGACCACAACCTATACACACCTCCTCCTCCTCCACACACTGACAACATACGCTCCTTCTCCTCCTCCTCATCCACACACTCTGACCACAAGGGCTTTTATGCCCAAAATCCACTGCACTCACAGTGGGCGCTAAAGCTGAGCATAGAGTGTTTGCTAATGCTTTTATAATATGTTTCTGATGTGGATATTCGGACTCAACATTGACAATAACAGCGCTCACACACGTGTCTAGCTGCTCCTCCTCTTCCTCCTCTGCTCACACACCTCTGTCTCCTCCTCCTCACACAGAAGACGCAAGTATCCATCTCTCCGTACACGGGGCTCATTCCCGTTACTTTCTTCGTTCCTCACTCAGACACTGCTAAAGTTATCTGACAGCTACGTAAAGTTTTTTTCCGGAGGACACGCTGTGATCTCGGGGTCTTGTTCACGAGTGAGGGAAGGATGGAGCGTGAGATTGACAGGCGGATCGGTGCAGCGTGCGCAGTGATGCGGTCGCTGTATCGGACCGTTGTGGTGAAGAGGGAGCTGAGCCGAAAGGCAAAGCTCTCAATTTACCGGTCAATCTTCGTTCCCTCCCTCACCTATGGTCATGAGCTTTGGGTAATGACCGAAAGAACAAGATCGCGGATACAAGCGGTCGAAATGAGCTTCCTCCGCAGAGTGGCTGGGCGCTCCCTTAGAGATAGGGTGAGGAGCTCAGTCACACGGGAGGAGCTCGGAGTAGAGCCGCTGCTACTCCACGTCGAGAGGAACCAGTTGAGGTGGCTCGGGCATCTGTTCTGGATGCCTCCTGGACGCCTCCCTGGGGAGGCGTATACCGGGCACGTCCCACCGGGAGGAGGCCCCGGGGAAGACCCAGGACACACTGGAGGGACTATGTCTCTCAGCTGGCCTGGGAACGTCTTGGGGTCCCCCCGGACGAGCTGGAGGAAGTGTGTGTGGATAGGGAAGTCTGGGCGTCTCTGCTTAGACTGCTGCCCCCGCGACCCGGCAACGGATGAAGCGGAAGAAAATGGATGGATGGATGGATGGACACGCTGTGTATATAGCTGCCCTCGCGCCTGCCTGTTTACAAATCGCTTTTGGTGAAAATGTTACTTTACTTTTATAATAATGTACTTTTGATCAAAAGAAATCAGAGGTCCAGAGAAAGGGGTTTAGGGGTCCGAACTTGGAGCGCAGTCCGACCCTTGAACTAGTGTATTTATTGATAAAAGAAAAAGAAAAAGGAAAGAAGATTGCGAGGCCCTGTGTGGTGCAAGGCCCTGTGCTTTGCGTGGAAGGATTGATTGAAGGACTTGGGCCTCACGGTGGAACCTCGTACTGACGTGGTCAACTCCAGATAACGGTGAACGGAGGGTCCAGTTCCAGTATAATTTGGACATATTGGCTTTAGTTTACACTGCCTTTCATTGATCAGCTAAAGTGCTTATACAAATTTCCCACAAGGCATGTGTTGTTTCGTCTCCAATGTTTGCAGGCACCTGCGCTATCTTTGTCCTTCACATTCCACCACCCACACTGCTACACCGGCTCAAGGCCGACACTGGACTCTATCTAACTCACTCACAACCCAGAACACCAGTTACAGTCCCCCCCCCTTCTACATATCTGCCTCCCTCTCTTTTCAGTCTACGGTGGTCTTCCCCTCCACCTCCCCCACCCACACTCCCCTCTGACGCGCTATATTGGACGAGGCGGGCCAGAGTGATGACTTCCCATTAAAAAGATCCGCATGTTTTCCACATGTACCGTGTCTCTCCCATGTTTGTTGAAATATGTGTCTGTTTTGCTCTCTGCTGTTGAATAACTGTCATAAGGAGCGCGGAATATTAGAGTACGCGGCCAGCCTTGATGCTTATTCATCGAACTGAATTTCTCCATCTGTGTGAGATAATAAAGGATTGATTGATTGATTGATTGATTGATGGCACAGGTCGCACAGCCCCTCCAATGGGCCTGCTCTGACTCTGGTCTCTCAGTCTCTAGTGTCTGACTCTGGTCTCTCCCCAGACCCCTCCTCCCCCTGGGTGACCGTGGCGCTCAGTGTTGGGGGTGTGGCTGTTGCCGTGGCGCTCTTGGCCATTGCCGTGGGTTACCGCCGCCAGATTTGCCACTTCCTGTGTCCGCAAGAGCGTCTGCCTCAGGTCTGTAGCAACAGTTACAGTGTATCATACAAGCAGTAACAAACACAAGACCTGGAGCTGGGTTTAGCTCCATCCATGCTCACACTTCAGCTCTTCACAAGTGTTAAAGTCTAATTCAAGAAACATATGATGTCCCACTACAGTGGGTAAAGGTTCTTATACACTGTCTCCTGCTCCTGTTCTCCCCCTCCTGCTTCTCCTCCTCCTGCTCCTGTTCTCCTCCTGCTGTTCGCCTTTGACATCCTGTACCCTCCTCCTGCTGTTTTCGTCTGACCTTCCTCTCTCTGTGCAGTCGCTGCAGCTCTGTCCAGAAGGTCCACAGCCACTCAGCTCTGAACCGGAGGAGGTGCAACCTCTCACTCTGCGCCAGGAGGAGGTGCAACCTCTCACTCTGCTCCAGGAGCTGCCTGACCAAAGCTCCTCCTGACCTGTCTGTGTGCTCCAGTTTCCTCCAGGTGCTCCAGTTTCCTCCAGTGATGGTGCCTGGCGGTGCAACAGTTTGAAGCGCTGTGTGTGACCTCTGAAATGTGCTATATTTATAAATATGACTTGAGCTTCTGCGAAGCCTGTGGGACTTTGATGAGACACTTTCACTGCAAAGGGGCAGAGCTCAGAGCCGTGCGGCCAGACTGAACTGCTGTAGGAGCAATTAGAATGTGTTTTAGTTTTTATGTACTTTATATATACAAATACAGTTTGAGTTTTCTCTTCTTTATGTGTTTATCTGTTTTACAATGTTTTTTACAAAACTGACTGAATGTGTTTGTTACATTGAACAAAAATAAATATTTACAATAAAGCTCCGGTCCCTCTCTGGTCTCTCTCTCTGGTCTCTCGGTGGCTGAGTGGATAACACTCTCTCCTCTCATTAAGAAGGTTCTGTGTTCGAATCCCGGTCGGACCAGGGCCTTTCTGAGTGGAGTTTGCATCTTCTCCCCGTTTCTGCGTAGGTTTCCTCCGGGTACTCCGGTTTCCCCTACCACTAAAAACATGTACAAGAGGTCTGGCATGCGCCTCCTGTACTGGCGACACCGCTCCCATCTCTTTGTGGAGTGAGAGACTAATGCCCAAAAAAAACCAAAAAAAAATATTTTATATATATATATAAACAATTGTAAACCGCTTTTTGACTCTGCTCTGTGAAAGGCGGTATATAAATAAAGATTACTTACTTACTTACTCTCTGGTGTCTCTCTAGTCCAGTGGTGGGCAAACCCCGGCCCGTGGGCCAGATGTGGCCCTTTGGATGCTTCTATCAGGCCCCTGAAGCCTCCTCAATTTATATAGATTAAGATTAAGATCAAGAGAGATTAGGAATAAGAACATTATTTATTATTTATTATAAGAACTCCCCCCTGGACTGCCACCTTAACGTGGTGGGGGAGTTTGAGTACTCGGGTGATCCTGGGAGCTATGCTGTCTGGGGCTTCATGCCCCTGGTAGGGTCTCCAATGGCAGACAGGTCTCAGGTGACGAGTCAGACGAAGAGCGGTCCAAAAACCACCATGGACAGCACTAAAATGAGACCAGTGACGTCGCCCGGCATGGCGCAGCCGGGGCCCCACCCTGGAGCCAGGCCTGGGGTCGGGGCTCGTATGCGAGCGCCTGGTGGCCGGGCCTGGCTGGGTCTCAGCCCGAAGGGACGAGGTGGGCAGTCCCTCCTGTGGGCCCACCACCTGCAGAGGGGTCCGTGGTGGCACGGTGCTAAGAGGACTGGGCAGCAGTCAAAGGCGGAGACCTCGGCGACCCAGTCCACACACACAACATCTGGCTCTTGGGACGTGGAATGTCACCTCACTGGGGGGGAAGGAGCCCGAGCTCGTGGGGGAGGTCTCACCTCCACACACAGCTTGGGCTCTGGAACCCAACTCCTTGAGAGGGGTTGGACGCTCCACTTTTCTGGTGTTTCTCGCGGGGAGAGGCGACGAGCTGGGGTGGTCATACTAATTGCCCCCCATCTCAGCCGCCACGTGTTGGAGTTCTCCCCGGTGAATGAGAGGGTCGCGTTCCTCCGCCTTCGGGTGGGGGACAAGTCTCTCACTGTTGTGACGGCCTACGGGCCTAACAGCAGTGCAGAGTACCCGGCCTTCTTGGAGTCCTTGGGAGGGGTACTGGACGGTGCACCAACCGGGGACTCCGTTATTCTCCTGGGGGACTTCAACGCCCATGTGGGAAATGCCAGTGACACTTGGAGAGGGGTGATCGGGAAGAACGGCCCCGCTGATCTGAACCCGAGCGGTGTTCAATTGTTGGACTTCTGTGCCAGTCACGGTTTGTCCATCACGAACACCATGTTCAAGCACAAGGGTGTCCACCAGTGCATGTGGCACCAGGACACCCTAGGCTGGAGGTCGATGATCGACTTTGTTGTCGTATCATCTGACCTTCGACCGCGTGTCTCGGACACTCGGGTAAAGAGAGGGGCGGAGCTGTCAACCGATCATCACCTGGTCGTGAGTTGGATCCGCTGGCAGGGGAAGAAGCCGGTCAGACCTGGCAGGCCCAAGCGTGTAGTGAGGGTCTGCTGGCAACGTCTCGCTGAGCCCCCTGTCAGACGGATTTTCAACTCGCACCTCCGGGAGAGCTTCTCCCAGGTCCCGGCGGAGGAGGGGGATATTGAGTCCAAGTGGACCATGTTCCCTTCCTCTATCGCCGATGCGGCGGCTCGTAGCTGTGGTCGCAAGGTCTCTGGTGCTGGTCCCGGCGGCAACCCCCGAACCCGGTGGTGGACACCGGCAGTAAGGGATGCCGTCAGGCTGAAGAAGGAGTCCTATCGAGCCATGATGGTTCGGGGGACTCCTGAGGCAGCTGTCCAGTACCGGCAGGCCAAGCGTGCTGCGGCCCGGGCTGTTGCAGAGGCAAAAACCCGGGTCTGGGAGGAGTTCGGAGAGTCCATGGACCATGACTATCGGTCGGCCTCAAAGAGATTCTGGCAAACCGTCCGGCGCCTCAGGAGGGGGAAGCAGTGCTTTGCCAACACCGTTTATGGTGGGGGTGGAGAGCTGCTGACCTCGACTGGGGATATTGTCGGGCGGTGGAAGGAATACTTTGAGGTTCTCCTCAACCCCCCCGTCACGTCCTCCGCCCCGGAGGCAGAGGCTGAGGATGTTGGGGCGGATACTTCCTTCTCCCAGGCAGAGGTCACCAAGGTGGTTGGCAGCCTCCATGGTGGCAAGGCGCCGGGAGTGGATGAGATCCGCCCTGACTATCTAAAGTCTCTGGATGTTGTGGGACTGTCTTGGCTGACACGTCTCTGCAACATCGCGTGGCGATCAGGGGCGGTGCCAATGGAGTGGCAGACCGGGGTGGTGGTCCCTCTCTACAAGAAGGGGGACCGGAGGGTGTGTTCCAATTATCGTGGGATCACACTCCTCAGCCTCCCTGGCAAGGTTTACTCCAAGGTACTGGAGAGGAGGCTACGGCCGATGGTCGAATCTCGGATTCAGGAGGAGCAGTGTGGTTTTCGTCCCGGCCGCGGAACACTGGACCAGCTCTATACTCTCCATCGGATACTCGAGGGTTCATGGGAGTTCGCCCAACCTGTCCACATGTGCTTTGTGGATTTGGAGAAGGCGTTCGACCGTGTTCCCCAGGGTGTTCTTTGGGGGGTTCTCCGGGAGTACGGGGTCCGGGGTCCTCTGCTGAGGGCCGTTCGGTCCCTGTATGACCGGAGCCAGAGCTGTGTTCGCATTGCCGGCAGTAAGTCAGACCTGTTCCCGGTGCATGTTGGCCTCCGCCAGGGCTGCCCTTTGTCACCGGTTCTGTTCACTGTATTCATGGACAGAATTTCTAGGCGCAGCCAGGGGCCGGAGGGGGTCCAGTTCGGGGACCACAGGATTTCATCTCTGCTGTTTGCGGACGATGTTGTCCTGTTGGCTCCAACAAACCAGGACTTACAGCATGCACTGGGACGGTTTGCAGCAGAGTGTGAAGCGGCTGGGATGAGAATCAGCACCTCCAAATCTGAGGCCGTGGTGCTCGACCGGAAAAAGGTGCCTTGCCCTCTACAGGTGGGTGGAGAGGTCCTTCCTCAAGTGGAGGAGTTCAAGTATCTCGGGGTCTTGTTCACGAGTGAGGGAAGGATGGAGCGTGAGATTGACAGGCGGATCGGTGCAGCGTGCGCAGTGATGCGGTCGCTGTATCGGACCGTCGTGGTGAAGAGGGAGCTGAGCCGAAAGGCAAAGCTCTCGATTTACTGGTCAATCTTCGTTCCCTCCCTCACCTATGGTCATGAGCTTTGGGTAGTGACCGAAAGAACGAGATCGCGGATACAAGCGGTCGAAATGAGCTTCCTCCGCAGAGTGGCTGGGCGCTCCCTTAGAGATAGGGTGAGGAGCTCGGTCACACGGGAGGAGCTTGGAGTAGAGCCGCTGCTAATCCACGTCGAGAGGAACCAGTTGAGGTGGCTCGGGCATCTGTTGCGGATGCCTCCTGGACGCCTCCCTGGGGAGGTGTTCCGGGCACGTCCCACTGGGAGGAGGCCCCGGGGAAGACCTAGGACACGCTGGAGGGACTATGTCTCTCAGCTGGCCTGGGAACGCCTTGGGGTCCCCCCGGACGAGCTGGAGGAAGTGTGTGTGGATAGGGAAGTCTGGGCGTCTCTGCTTAGACTGCTGTCCCGCGACCCGGCAACGGATGAAGCGGAGGAAAACGGACGGACGGACATTTATTCATCCCACAGTGGGTTAATTTCAGTTTAAACATCATACAATCTCCCTCTGTGCTGTGTGCAGAGCTATTTTTTCATATAAACAATACATTTATGTTTTAAAATGAAGCCTGAGAAAAACATTGGAATATCAGAGGGCTGTCGGGATCTGGACCTAATTTCCAATGTGGCCCTCAGGAGGAAAAGTTTGCCCATGTCTGCTCTAGTCTCTGGTCTGTCAGTCGATCAGAGGAGCTCCCTCAAGGGACTCATTCGTTCCTTTCTTTTTAGTTTTACAGTTTTAATCTTATATAAACTGCACGTGATGCACTTATGTATCGTTGTAAATGTGCTTTATAAACCTTTCACACACTCGTATCACTTCATTTACAGTTTTTTCCTGTTGCTTGAACACTATAGACACACGCTTAGACCAAAGTTGCAGAACTTGAAGCTTTTGTTCTAAACCTAAAACACAGACTGACCATTCCTTTAAAAAAAACTACTGCTTTGCACTCTACTTTCATTTCTACAACACACTTTCTCTTTCTGCAACACACTTTCTCCTGCTCACTACACACTGTGTCATACATAAGACACTTTGTGCATATTTGCAATCCTGAGTTCCATCCATCCATTTTCTTCCCCTTAATCCATTTCTGGGTCGGGGGGGCAGCAGTCAGAGCTGCACCCAGTACACTAAGCACCAGCCCCTCACTGATACTCCCGCAGGTGGTGAGTCCACAGGAGCTAAGATCTTTCAGTGGGGGCTTCAGGCAAAGTGGGGTTAAGTGTCTTGCCCAAGGACACAACGACAGCAGTCATCAGTGGGAGTTGTGAAGTAGGTCTTATGGTGGGCTCGAACCCAC